TTTTTTTTTTTTTTTTTTTTTTGGTACTGGGGATGGAACTCAGGTCCTTGCGTCTGCAAGGCAGGTGGCAAAACTACTGAGCTAAATACCAAGCCGAGAGGTGCAGTTCTTGCTGGGCATTGGAACACTCCACTCAGCACCACACAGAACTCCCAGAAGGAAACCATGGGGTGGAGTCTGAACACCGGTGCTGGCAGAACCCTGGTCCGCAGCAGCGCAAAGCAGCTCTTTCCCCAGGGCCCACGCTTGCCCAGGAGGCCAAACGCAGCTACAGAGTGCCGTGTGCCAGGCCGCGCTGTCTGGATGGGATGGAGCCAGGGTGCACAGCAGTGACCGGGAAACCTGCGGATGTCTGCCACCCGATCCAGCCCCTCGAACTCCCTCCTGCAGATGAATGATGCCCAAAATGTGCCCGTGTCCATGCCTGGGATGGGCAGAAGTTCCAGCCCTGGGGACCAATTTAGATCATGAGACACAGCCGGTGTGGTAGCATATGTGGGCTATCCGAGCTACCCCACAGGCTGAGGCAGGAGGACGCCATGTCGGAGGCCAGCCGAGGCAATTCAGTGAGACTCTGTCCGTCTCCAAACATAAGGGCTGGGGACATGGCTCAGTGGTAGAGCAACCTGGGGCTCAGCCCCAGTAGTAAGGAGAAAACCTCTCAGCTGGAAAAGATGGAGGTCTATGGGACCAGGCCCGGGGCTCCTCCGAGCTCGGGCAGTGTCCCTGCTGTCTCCTGTCCAGAGTGGAGTGGAGAAGCCATGGGCCGCATCCTCGGTGGCTGAGGCCAGGCACTGAGGGCACCCAGCAGATCCCCTTGCGGTCCTGGTGCCAGCCGGGCTGGCAATGCGGGCTGGGGACATGGGACCGCCTTCAGCCAGGCCCGCCTGGGGCAGGCAGCAGCCAGTACTGGGTCCCTGGAAAGATGGTTCATGAATTCACGCTCTCGCTCAGTGACTGGGCCGCTTTAACCAGACAAGGCCAGCTTTGCTGCATGCACAGTGGAAGGAATTCCTACAGATAGCAGCTGCCCAGGCGGGGCCCAGCCACACTGCATGGGGCCGCTGGGTCCAGGTGCTGAAGGGCCCCCAGCTGTCCGCCCGGCTGTCTGGAAGGACGTGGTCCTCATCCCAACTCGGACTGGACCAGTTAATGAATTTGCACTTGGGCATCATGGTATTTTTCACCCTCTTATCATAACTGCAGGATCGTGCATGTGAGACAGGCCTAGGACCCTCTCCCGGACCCCCATAACACACGGCCAGACTGCAGTAGTGCCACACCCCGGAAACTGATGTCGATCTACTCAAGACCAGAACAGCCGCATTGCTTACTCCTGGGCTTCTCCCAGTGAACCCAATCCTGTTTCATTAGGTCTCCTGTGTGCACAGGTCTCCCTGGCAGCTTTGCTCATGGCTGAACCAGTCATGACGCGTCCACATCTTGGAACGTAGGGTACTATGCAGCAATGAAAAGGGAAGGCTACCGATATATACACTGGGGACTAACCAAGGGAAATAATGTGGAGAGGACCCAACTAATATCACAGGGCGGGGCGCCCTGCACAGCCCGCGTATGCAACACCCATGAGAGGGACAGCAGGTTCGTGTGCCAGGAAGTGGGGCTGTGGCTTTGAAGGGTGGCACAACAGCATCGCTGCTGATGGTAGATGTCTTGGTGTTGGCTGCGTTTACTCACGGAGCCCTGCACGCGTGTGCACAAGTCTGAGCGTGTGTGACAGTGCAGTCCTGCACTTCCTGGACCACACAGCATCACTGTCCTGGTTGCAGGACCAGGCGAGGGTGCTGGGAGGACCGGGCATGGCCCCACTGCCCGGTGCGTGCCGACTTGTGCCCTTCTGGTCATGATTTCAAAGGCGAGTGTGAAAGGCCAGGACAGATGCCATGCGTCCTCCTGCATGGGAGCTGGAGACTGGAGGTCTCACAAAGGTGGCTGGCATTTGCTGGGACTGGGCTGGGTCCTTCTGCAGCCCCTCATCTGCCACCCGGGGGCTTCGGGGCCAGGGCGTGGTCGGAGGGAGGGCTGTTAACAGGGTGGGGCCATGTCCAGTGCCTGGCGGAGGCCACAGTGCACTGGTTATTGCCTGAGAGGGTTTCGAATGCATCTGGCGCACAAAGGCCATGGGTGTTGGGCACCGATGCTGACGGCCCTGACTGGCCCACTGCCCGCTGGGCACAGGAACAGAAACGCCCTCCTGTTCCCGACAAATGTTCTGTCTCGGGCCAAAACACAGGCTTCACACTGGCCTGGCCATTATGGACTGGCAACTTGGCCCCACCTCCAGCCTGGGGCGGTTACATCTGCAGGGACCGTGCCTCTGTCCCTGTGTCCCCTCCCCATCACCCTGATACAAATGCATGCAGCTCTGCCATTGACACCATAGTCCCGGGCTTTATTGTGGTGTCCTGAGGGTCTCGAGATTCAGGGTGGCCTGGAAGCCTTGGCAGTGTCCTGTCCTCGGTGACTGACCTGCTGTTGGGGGGACAGAGACTCTGGAGCTGGTTCTTTGGGAAGCCCAGTGTCCCTTCCCCTTCCACACCCCAGAAGGACGGGATGCTCTGGAGCAGTGACACAGACCCACGTCACTGGCACCACGGCAGGGCCGCGGGGAGCCCTGCTGTCTCATGGGAACAAATCGCTTCCCCTCCGAGGCCCCCAAAGCCTCACATGACAGATGAGTGTCACTGCCTTCTTGTAGGGGAAGCAGGGAGGGGAGCAGCTGTCCTGAGTGGGGTTCATGGGTGGCCAGCGGGCTCTCACCTAGTCATCTCCGGAGGGAAGGTACTTGGTCGTGTTCCGGATGTAGCGCCTGGAGTTCTGGAAGGAAGAAAAGGAAGAAAATCAGACAGGTTTAGGTCACTAGGGCTGTGGCTGAAGTTCCAAGTCCTAAGAAAGCCAGGGAGGACAGGGCTTTCACAACACCACACAGACACTGGTGGTACACGCCTGTAGTCCTACCACTCTGAAGGCTGAGGCAGGAGGATTCTTGTAAGTTCTAGGCCAGCCTGTACTATGTAGTGAGACCATCTCAAAACACAAAATAAAAAAACCGCTGCAGAGGCCAGGTGCTTGGGAGGCTGAGTTTGAAGCCATCCTAAGTAAAATGTAAAGGTGGCCTGGGAGGTAGCGCAATGGTTAGAGCACGGGCCCAGCTGCAGGAAGCCTTGGGTTCAAGGTCCAGCACCACAGCTGCACTGACGCCCATCAGTGCACAGCCTCTTGGGGGCGTGGCCTAAGTGGGTGGTGGGCCAGCCAGGAGTGCACCTGGGTCTTCCCTGCTCTGCCTGCCCAGGTGAAGTGAGGACACAGGAAGACGAACCAAGCGTCCCCGCCCCCGCCTAACATTCATGGCACCTTGGGCCAAGGATCGCTGCGCCCGGGCCCCACACGCGCCTCACACGTGCCTGCCAGTCGGTCTCCGACACCCTGCGGTCATAGTGGGACTTGCGGCTGCTCAGCCGCTTCAGGATGGCCTGGTTCTCCATGGTGATGCGCATGAGCTCACGGTTCCGCATCTCACGGTTCAAGCTGAAAAGCACGAGATGCGGTGGGCGGTGCCCGCACGCAGGGCCACTCCTGTGCCCAGCCCAGGCACAAGGCAGCCTGGCAACCACGCTGCACAGGCCCCACTGCCTGCCGGGAGGTGCTCTGCAGCTGGGATGGATCTCAGGCCCTGGCTCTGTTCAGGCTCCCAGAGACGGGAACCGGCAGGGGCTGGTGCCTCATAAAGGAGTCACAAGGGGCAGGTGGCAAGTTTGGGTTCATCTCTCCCCACTGGCTTCCAATTTTGAGATTCACCGACACTGGCCTCAAACTGGAAGTGATCCTCCTGCCTCAGCCTCCAGAGTACTGGGATGCTGGGTGTGTGCCACCACACCAGCAAAAATATACACCTATTTCATCTTCCTGGTGCGGTGCCCAGGAAACAGGTGCAGATCCAGTCTAAAGACACCATGTCACAGCCTGGCCGGGGCTGTGGTCCCATCTCTGTGTACCCCCACAATTCCTAGGCTGAAACTCTAATCCAGGGAGTGGTATTAATAGGAGGGGCTTGGGGGTGACCAGGTTGCCCCAGAGGGACCCGTGCTTTTCTCTGAGAAGTCTGAGAGCGACCCCTTCCCCACACTGCCAAGCTGAGCGTGGCGTCTACACAGCCTGCACTGCCCGATCCTGAGTTTGCCGGTGCCCTGGCCTCGGATCCAGCCTTTGGTCCAAGGTGGGGTCGCTGCTGTGTACGAATGTCACAGAAGCCCGCCCTGCACACCGAGACCCTCGGTAAGTGTCCTGGGTGAGGTCCAGGCCGGCTCGAGGCCCCTCTGAGTCTCCCTCTCTCTCGTGGTCTCTCGGGGCCTTGCAGGACCTCTCTGGGAACCTCACCCAGCCCCACCTCCTGGAGAAGTAGGAGTTCCAGCAGTCCACCTTGGCAGGGCCGCGGTGCACACTGGCGATCTTCTCACACAGCTGCCTGTTCTCGTACTCAATTCTGTCCATTCTCTTCTGCTCACACTGTAAGAAGCCCCGGCCGGTGTGACGCACGGCTCAGCATGGGGCCCGCCCCTCGGGACTGTGGGAAAGGCGCTGAGGGCCCAGGGAGACCGGGCAGGGCGGGCAGGTGGAGGCTGGGGGCTGGACCTCTAGGAGGAAAACGAAGACCGACAGCTACACAAGAACAGATACCTGCAGTTTGCTCAGCTTTAAAATGAGATGTGTGTGTGCTGCGGGAGGCTTGGTGTCCACGGTGGGCTTCGCTAGACAGGGGACAGCAGGAAGAACAGTGTCACAGCTCAGGGATCCACAGCAGCCTCCAAAACACTGGGCTGGCTGTGACCCCCGCCAGCCAGCTCCCTCTGGTTTAATCTCCCAAACTGACACCTCTGGAGTCTGAGCAGAGATGACAGATTGTGAGGGCAGAGTCCCATTTAGGGGCAGCCAGCCATTTAGGGGCTGTGTCTCCAAGCCCCGAGACAGACTCTGCTGCCCTCCCGTGTCACCTGCCCTCGCTGGGCAGGTGCTCCAGAGCAGCCTCTCATGCCAGCCGCAGAGTCTGGGCTGAGGGTGCGGTACAGCGAGAGTCAGGCTGTCGCCAAGCCGGGCCAGCTGGCTTTGTATGGTCCTGAGTGTCCCTGAGGTGCCCCCACCCGGCCTGGCCAGAGCTCCCTGCTGCCAACCTATTTGGAGCCGGTTCTGGTGGGAGAGGTAGTGGCCTAGGTCCAGTTTCCTCCTGAAAGCGGTGGTCTGCCTGTGATTGGAGACGACCACAGGGTAGGCCAGGTAGTCCAAGGAACTGTTCATCTTCTCATCCTGGGTCCCTGCAGGAGTGAGGCACCCGTGGCTCTGTGAGGTGCTGAGCTGTCCCTATGGTAGGCTGTCACAGTGATCCAGTGTGACATCAGGTGCCTCTGCAGAGGCAGGAGGAGCTGTGCCTGGCTGTCTCCGGGAGCCTGCTGTATTTATTTGCTTTCTATTTAGAAGAACTTTTGTTAGTATTATTATTATTACTTTTTTTTTTTGAGACAAGGTCTCACTGTCTCACACGATCCTTCTGCCTCAGCCTCCCGACGCCGGAATGACAGGTGTGTACAACCTCAATCAGGTGTTTTTTAAACCAACACAAAATCTATGTATTTTGGGGTTCAGACCACTAAGCTGACACAGTACGCACTGCAGTGATCAGGGCAGAGTACTCAGCATTTCTGTCCCCTCCAACACTTACCACTCTGTGTGTGGGCTATTATTTTTCTTACTTTTTTGTTTTTTTGAGGTAGACTGGCCTTGAACTTGGCACAATTCTCCCGCCTCAGGTTCCCTAGTGCTGGGATTACAGACATGCACACCGCACCCAGCTTGTTTTTGTTGTTGTTGTTGTTTTGGTACCAGGGATCCAACTCGGGTCCTTGTGCTTTTGAGGCAGGCTGTGGAACCACTGAGCTACATCCCCGGCCCTGCCCAGCTTGTTTTTTGGCTGAAGTAGGTCCTGGTCTAGAAGAACTCAGGAGACTCAGACAGAAAAGGAACGGTGTTCTGGGGCCCGCAGAGGGTACTTTCCAGGCCTTGCACCGTCACCCGTGTGCAGGGAGCCCAAGGCTGCAGGGGAGACCCGAGGTCACCAAGTCCCCTGCAGCAGGGCCAAGCACGCGGCACCAGGCCATGCCCCTCGCAGAAGGAAACCTGGGCTTCTCCAGGGCCCAGTCCATCCTGGCTCCACGTGGTGTCCCTGTGCAAGGGAGGGGATGGGCTCCCTGGGGACTGCGTGCGGCCCTCCCAGGAGCCCCAGGAGCTGGGTTCCAGTCTCCCTTCCCGACACCTGGGAGGAGTTCGGATTCCAAGTAGTCTACCTTCTGTGGCAGACGGCTGGGCGGGCCGGGGTCCTGCTTGGCCTTCTGTCCCTTGGCTACTCCAGAGGGTCACCTCGCTGGAGCCCGCGGGCCTCACGCAGCTCTGGGTTCGGACTCTGGACCCGGATCGGCCTGTATTGTCAACCCACTTCGGCAAATGCACCCGAGGTAGTCGCCAAGGGTGGGGACCCTGGAAGGCCCACGGGAACAGGGACGGAGCCCTGCACTGGGCTCAGGGAAATGAGCGCCTGCCCGACTCCTTTACAGACAGAGTCCAGCTACACCAGGGCTCCACCCGTGGGCCCTCCACGCAAGAGGGCAGCGCTTCCGCCCAGCCTGCACCCCAGGATCCCGCGCAGAGGAGAGGAGCCCCTTGGCCCTTTGTGCAGCCTCGCAGTCCGGGCCACCACCAGGACCTGAGCGGGGCGGGGCGAGATG